TTTTGAGGACTGAAAATCGTTGAGCTGTTCAATCCCTAAAGCTGGTAGGATTGTCTCTCCCAAATTAATAACTTTCAAATGAAGAAAATGAGTCAGTACACGAAAGTAGCTGATCTTGTCCCCAATAGAAGGGTCTGAGTATAGAATAGCAAACTCCAGATCTGAAAACGGTGTTGCTTCCATCCGCGCTACCGACCCAAGGGCAATAATGGCGTAGTCACACGGTGGTGGACCAAGTCTACCTTCACATTCTTTGACTAACATTGATACAAGCCTGGTGTACATATCTTGAATGTCTCGGAAAACGTCGTGCACCTTATCTGCATGGATCTTAAACAGAAAGATATCGTGTTTGTTCAAAATTGCAAAAATAGTAACAGGGTTATTTATAGGCGCGAAAAAAGGCCACGGCTTAAATCGCGAGTTTATCTATTGGTCGAGTGCAATCTCGTACCCAGAGTATGCCCGTTCGCAGGTTAGGTGCTGGGGATGACTCTGGAGAAACAGAATACCGGATATCCAGTTTTGGATACCCGGTTAATTGTGCGCATGCTCATGCTCCCTTCTTGCTACGCGCGGTCCCTAGCAAGCGACTTGGGCAAGTCTAGCTCATGCTCAAACCGCAATACTGAATTCACGCGGGCGTCATTAGTTGCAATTAGAAATAAAATCGTAGGATTTGTCGAAAGTTTGATACTTTTTACATTGAAATCAATTGAAAAAGATATATTTTCTCAGGCTTTTTAATTTAGGCCCCTAGTTTTGTTTGTTTCGTTCGCGGGCGAGGACGAACAAAAATGTATGTCTGCCTCTTTACGCTCGTTGCCCTCCTTGACCAGACACAGCGACACGCGCTGGCCAAGGAGGTTTTCTTGTATTTGTAATATCCTTCTTCTAAGTCTTATAAACTTTTCGACGACAATAAATCCAATAATATCAATTTATTCTTCTTGAACAACAACAGCAAATTACTATTTCTAATCCTTTCTAATAATCTTCTAACTATCTTTCTTATTTAACTTAAGCTTTCTCTACTTATATACTATCCGAAAGATATTTATAGAACATTACATAAACGCTATTTTTAGATCACGTATAAGATAAATATAGCAAAACCATGAGTCAGCATAATTACGTAATGTCTTAATTAAGATTATAATATAGCATTTGTAAATTCTGAACGTTGATTGGCTAAGAGCCGTCTTGATATAACTCCATGTCAACACGGGAAATTTTCCGCCGCTTGTTAACACGGAAATTTTTCTTATTCTTCGGGCTTTTCACATTGCTATATAATAAAACAAATATAAAACATTTTTCCGTATTGATATATAGTTATATCAACACTTGTGGAAGTTGGGAAAACTTGAAATTCTGTGAAAACACTCCGCCCTTCGGGCGTCGTGTTTCCATACAATTTCTCGTTTTCCCAATTTCCACTCATGTTGATATAACTGTATATCAACACGGAAAATGTTTTATATTTGTTAAATATCATAACGTGACTGACTTCACATCACACTCCCCCTCTTGAAAAAAAGAAAGTTTGCTAAAACTTTCGTTAACTGTTCGTAATCTCCATTATATCCATATCATATGTTATAATTATACTCTAAAATACTCTATAAAGAATGAAAATTGAGAAAACTCAATACAACAAGAATAGCGTCCTAAACTCTAGCAACAGTATAACAGAATAGGGAAGATTCAACAACAGAACAACAAATGTTTAACAACATTTTACTTTTTAATAATAATAATTATTATATATATATATATATATTATATATTATTAAATTTGCCAAATATTTACAATTACACTGATAAACAATATACATAACAAGCTACAAGACAACACACGTGACTGGAATGTGGAACAGGACTTACGTCCCAATTAATACCTCACGCCATATATACTTCATAGGCACTTTCTCGGTGTGAGAACAAACAAAAGCTTAACACTAATCTGAACTTGATCATTATATAAATTCTAACTGATTTACGGTTGTTCGTACACCGAGCTAGTGGGTGAACTTTACAGAACTGAACTAAATACTTAGTACTTATATTACAAACATTTTCTTCACAAAACTAAATATTAGCTACAGTTATTAGGAAGTTTGTATGATTTTGACTTGATACTATATAAGTTATTTAAACGAGTTTTAAACGAACATAAACTACCGGATTTCTTAATTTCAGTTGGTAGGCTGTTCCAAAGTTTTGCTGATCTAATAAAGTAAGAGTTTTGAAAGTATTCCTGATTATGTTTTATAATGAGGTGGAAGTTATTTTCGTCATAGTTGCGAGATTGAAAGCCGGGATTGTAAGTGCATAAATATTTGTTTATATCCATTGTTATGAGGTGGTGTTTGGATTTGAACAGCAGTATCAGATCAGAAAGTTCTCTTCGGAATTCCAGTGGTAGAAGATTTGTTTTCTGCAACCGGTCCACGTACGACATGTTGTCAGGATAATTCAAGATGAATTTTGTGGCCCGCCGTTGAACATTCTCGATGAGCAAACAATGCTTAATGGTGTAAGGCCACCACACGCTGCTTGCGTATTCTAGCTTGGGTCTTACCAGCGCACAATACAGAATTCTTCTTGTGTTGGTATTCTTCACTGCTTTACAAATCCTTTTGATGAGACCAAGTGTTTTATTAGCCTTGGATACAATGCTTTCTATGTGTTTCGGCCAGGATAAGTTGTTGGATATGAGCACACCAAGATCCTTGATGGTCGACACTTGTTCGAGTATGTTCTCGTTGATTGAATACTGAGTTCGCGCAGGTGCTCTTTTTCTTGAGATATGCATGGTCTTACATTTAGTTGCGTTTAGTTCCATTTGATTATCAGCAGTCCAGTTTGTTATATTGGAAAGATCAAGTTGAAGTAAAGTAGAAGATGTGGGAAACAAAAGTGGTCGGTAAAGCTTTGAATCGTCCGCAAATAACGCAAGTGTGGAATTATTCTCGATGTAGGTTAATATGTTGTTACAGTAAACAAGGAATAGCAAGGGTCCGAGTATAGAACCTTGTGGCACACCTGATGTTACGGGAAGCCATTCAGAGCAAACGCCGTGAAGAACGACTCTTTGTTGTGTGAGGTCGCTTTGGAACCAAGATAATAGAGATCCCCTGATTCCCAAAGTCTCAAGCTTTCGCAAAAGAAGATGATGCGGTACTTTGTCAAATGCCTTTGAAAAGTCCAGGTATATGGCATCAAATTCATTCCCACTTGCGACTGATTCCAGAATTTCATGGTATACTTCAAGCAGCTGTGTGGTTGTGGATTTTCCTCGTATAAAACTATGCTGCATTTGATAAATGTGTGGCTCGAGATGCTGGTAGGCAGGGACGCCGGAACGATAATAAGGCAAAGGGGGGCAGACGCACACCAAGGGCACCTCTATAGAGCAAAAGTTCAAAATCTACCGGGAAATTTTTCATGGAAATTTTTTGGGCGACCTCCCTCCCCCCCCCCTCCCCCCTGTTGCCAAAAAAATTTCGATCAGTGTACCATTTTAGGAGCCCGGACATATCAAAATTTTCCGTTAAGTTAAAAAATTTTCCTAAATTCCAAAAATGTTCTAAACTTTTTGTAAATTAAACTCATTCTTTACCAAATTCACAATTATTTTTGTTAATTTACTTTCTCTGGGCCTATAAATTACCTGAATCTCATGATTTTCCCAGAAAAAGCATCACTGGAAATGTGATTTATCACGTAGTATTTTACAACTAAAAGGGCACTTCTGCCCCCCCCTGCCCCCCCTAGCAAAAGGCAAGGGGGGCAGCCGCCCCCCACTGCCCCCCAGTTCCGGCGTCCCTGCTGGTAGGAATGATTGTGAACGCAACGTTCTAGGACTTTCGACAAAGTGCAAAGTAGTGAGATTGGCCTGTAGTTCATTGCCAGCGTTGGATCTTCGCGTTTGAATACGGGTGTAATGTTCGCCATTTTCCATTTAAGAGGTACTACACCAAGATTCAATGACATGTTAAATATCTCACATAACGAAGGTGCAATAACGTCCGCAAGTTCGATCAGCAGTCTGTTCGGAATGTTATCTGGACCACACGCTTTTCGTGAATTTAATTTGCGAAGAACTCCAACAACTTCAATTTCCGAAAGTTTAATACTGGAAAGCTCGGGCATTGAAAACGTTGAGGGTAAGAGAGATTTATTAAATGATTCCGAGCTCTTAGGGTTGAAGACAGAATGAAAGAATGTATTTAAAGTATTTGCCATCTCAAATTTGTCCGTTGTAAATGAGTCTTCAGTTTTCAGGAAATTGATGTTATTTCGGTTTTCCGTTGAGTGTTTTACAGCCGCCCAAAATCGTCGGGGATTCTCATACAAGGACTCTGTAAGCTTGATGTTGTATTGTTTCTTTTTCTTATTGATCTGTTGCTTTGTTAAATGCCTTAAGTTTTTGTATTTCTCTAGGTTAGCTAGCCTTGGAAATTTTTTATGCTTTCTTCTTTGTATGTTTTTCTTCTTAATTTGCCTGAGTAGTTCCTTATCTATCCACGGGTGGTCATGCACACTCTTGATGCAATATTTTGGTATGTGTTTATCTACGGTTGAAAGGAACATGCCACACCAGTGCGAAAGTGTCTCATCAATGTTACCGGAAACAAAACATAAATCCCAACGAGTGTTTGCAAGTAATACTTTAAGATTGAACCAATCAGATTTTGCAAAATTGTAAACGAAACGCTCAACTCTTGGTTTACTTTGTATTTTCAAGTTGATTTCAAAGTTTATGAGTTTATGATCTGTAGTTAAGACGTCATCAAACCCTGTCACATTCTGAATTTTGTTCGGTATATTAGTAAGAATTAGATCAAGTGTGTTCTCACCTCGGGTAGGAAAGTCAACCAATTGCCACAAATAATGATCTTTCACAGTTTTCGTAAAGTGTTGATAAATGGTATTGTTGTTAGCCGATACTCCAGTGGTCTAGTCAATATTTGGTAAGTTAATTTGATCGTTTGTATTGTTTGTATTTGTTTTCATTGTTTGCAGTAGGATGGTGTAAATATTTCTTATATAGCTTATTCTTTTTAATAACTGATTTTGCAATGCATTTTGTCATCCATGGACCTTTCTTTTTGTCAATTTTTCTTTTTGTAATGTTTTTTGTTAATGGGAAGGTACTTTCGTAGAATGGAGAAAATAAGTAAAGAATCGATTGTATGACTCTGTGCTGTTGTTACTAGAAAGCACGTTTTCCCATGACATATTTTTAATAGTATTGCTAAATGATTTAACGTTAGAGTCTCTGATGTATCTCTTATAAATAAATTATTTTGCTGGTGGTGTTTCATGTCGCGTTTTTATGTTACGTATACATGAACTATGGGTAAGTGGTCTGAGATATCACAAAATAATATCCCGTTTGTGCTGTCTTCTATATTTTCAATATCATTAGTAAAAATGTTATCAATTAATGTGGCAGTGTGTTGTGTGATTCTTATTGGTCTTAATATAAGTGGGAAAAATGAAGAGGCAAACATTTGTTCTAGAAATCTGCTAGTATAATCACAAGATTCTGATTTCAAAAGATCTATATTAAAATCCCCCATGAGGTAGGCTATCTTATTTTCTTTTTCTATTTTGCCTAGTATCTGATTCATTATATTTTCAAACGAATCAAATTTTATTGTTTGGCGGTCTATATATTACTCCTATTATTACGTTTTTACCAACAGCTGTAATGAGTTCTATGAATATGGATTCAATTGTAGTTTCAGTATTTATGTTTATGTCAGCGCGTAATTTGTATTTTATTCCTTGTTTTAAATAAACACCTATTCCTCCACCGTTTTTACGGCTACGGTTCATTTTAATAAAATCATAGTTTTTAAGTTTGAAGAGGTACTCATTAGTATCATTCAGCCACGTCTCATTGTGAAGAAAATTAAATTTCGTCCAACGCCAAGATATAACCTGCATCAATTTGGTTCCTGTCTTGCCCAATATGATTGGTCAACCGTACTAAACCTTGAGAACGTAGATGAGAAGGTTGAGGATTTCACCAGAGCTACTAACGATATGATTAATTACTATTTCCCGGAGAGAACAGTTCGAATGCATTCCGATGATAAATTTTTTATAACAACAAAAATAAAAAAGTTACTAAGGAAGCGAGATAATGCATACAAACAAGGAAGAATGCAGAAGTTTAGGAAACTTCGTAATAGAGTAGCATCGGAAATTACAAAGGCAAAGAGGCACTATTATGTAATGAACATTGGAAGGCTGAATACCAACGGGGATGCCCGAATGTGGTGGAAGAAGGTCTGGAAACTGACTGGAAAGAAGAAACCTTCTATCAATCTCAGTGAGCGGGGATCAGACTCCAAACTCGAAGATAGTGATGCTGCAAATATGATTAATACGTTTTTCGCAGATCTAACAAATGATTTCCCAGAAATTCAATCCAGATGGTCATCGTACGGTCATTCAGATGTCTTGCCGACTGTTACACCCGAAAGCGTTGCGAAAAACCTTTTGTCCATTCAGTCTCACAAAGCTCCCGGTCCAAACGACCCCTACCTCAAGATAATCAAAATGTTTGCGCATTCTTTTGCCATCCCATTAGCAAACATTTTTAATGCATCATTTGGGCAGAAGGTGTTTCCAAAACTGTGGAAAGAGTTCCGCCTAGCACCTATACCAAAAGTGGAACCGTGCACGAATCTGGATGAAATAAGACCAATAGCTCTCACTAGCACAATTTCGAAAATACAGGAGTCTTACGTGGTTGATTGGATGTATGACGATATTGAGTCTAAAATTTGTAAGGAACAGTATGGTGGTGTCCCACGCTCGTCAGCAGTTCTTGCGCTCGTTCACCTTCTACACAAATGGAATAAAGCGTTGGACTTATCACAACGAGTAATACGAATTGTGTTTTTGGACTTTCGCAAGGCATTTGATCTTATTGATCACAACCTGCTATTAGACAACTGTTGTAAAATTGTAGTCAGACCGAGGCTTATTGGCTAGTTGGGGTCATATCTGAGTAAGAGGATGCAAGTGACAAGATTTGGTAACGAACTTTCTACAAGCTGCATGATTAATGGGGGAGTTCCCCAAGGTAGTCGTATTGGTCCAATCGCGTTCGTCGTTCACATTAACGGACTGAAGGCAGAG